TGGGAAAAGGCGTGAGGTGGAAGTTGGTAGTACATACCCACTTCTTGTGTTTCCCTTCCCGGGGATGCTGGGTTAGGTGTAATGCATCATCCTGTCCTGCGTGCTCGCTTTGGGTTACGTGACGTGGGGAACAGCTACGCCGCGTCTCCTCTCTCTTCATGGTGACACTGCTGTCACTGCAGGCTGGTGGGAGTCCTTCCCAAATAATTTTGTGTGTTTGAGAGGACACTGGAAAGGTCCTTGGAAGAGGATCACTGAATAAGGGGAGAAACATACAGCCGAGAAACTCGTGAGCAGAGGCTAAATGCGGTTGCAGTCTAGAACAGTGTGAAGGGGCATTATCAGATTGTTAATGCATTCTTTAGGTTGTGACCACTGTTGGAGATGGGAGACGGGCTGGCTGCAGTCCAGAGCAGTTCGTAGGGAGCCCAGTGCAGAAGTACCTACCTGCAGGAGCTGGCCTGGAGCACACTGAGGGTTTGTACCTGCTGGGGGCAGAAAAGCCTGAACAGCACTGTCCTCCTTCCTAGTCTCAGCCATGCCATCACACATGGAAACACCAGCACAGACAGGCTGGTCACCTCCGAGCTCCCTTAGGTCCCAGCATAGCCCTGAGGCAGAGCTGGAGCACTGCCATGCGGAGCACAGCCTTGAGGAGGTCCCCATCCCCGCGCTCATCCAGCTTATCTCCGCGATAAGGCTGTGCAGCCTCCCTGACGTCAGCGCAGCAGCCAGGAATCCCCTGCACGAAGCCGCAGTGGCTTCGCCCCTGTTTTTATCGTGCCGATCGTTCGGGAGCCTCCAGCGCTCAGATGCAGGCACATCATTTCTGCTCACTTGCGGCATAGCCTCTGGGAACCCCTGCCTGAGAAACGTGACTGCGTTCAGCACATCCGCAAACCTCCAGAGCTGAAACACAACCGTCCGAGTCGATTGCATTACGGCTGAGATTCCTAAATAAGCAGCACTTGATGAGTGCAGCGGGATGTTTAATAAGAGCCTCCTCAGCCCCCCGTGCCCCCCTGCCTCCCATAATCACAGCCCTACAATCCACAGCCGGTGAGGGGAGAGGCAGCATCATTTGTATTCCAGCTCTGCTCCTGCTCCTAGTGCTTCCAAGAAGCAAGTAAAAATAGCACTCCGTCATTTTGTAAATAATAGCTATATCCTCGCGGGCCCGGGGAGTCACGAGCACTTAAAAGGGAGATTGCGGGAAAGGGGGAGCATCTGCCTTGAGCCAGGGCCAGGAAGATGGGGCACAGGAGCTCGGAGGGGGTGCAGGGGAGGGTGGGTGAGGTGGAAACCCTGAAGCACCTCAGCAGCAGCCGCTGCTGCTTTACAACTTCTGCACACACAAGGGAAGCAACCGACCCTGCTGGCGTGGGGCTGGGGGCAGCGGGGTCCGGCCCCCGCACAGCGCCAATGGGGATGTTTATCACCTGCGCCAGCAGCCAGGTCGGGCATAGCAAGCGCTTGGAGAAGGAGAAGGGTAGCTTCTAAAGAGCAGGCAGGTGTAGGGAGTGCCATGGTAACACTGTGGGAGGGGATGCTCCAGCTCTTGGTGTACGTTTGCATTGCAGATGTGCCCAGCTGTGGGGGTTTGAGCGGGCAGCCTTGCCTGGCAGGCAGGGACACGGCTTTCTACCCTGTGGGAGAAAGGGCAGCTCTGATCGATCAACAGCACCCTGTTCCTGCACACACACTTGCTCCAGATGGTTTTAGAAACACAGTTGTGCCAAAGCTTGGGAATAAGCTGAGCCTGTGAATGGGAAAAGCCCCCAGACAAGGAAATCAGCCTCCGAAAAATGGGTTGGGAACATGGCATGCCACTGGGGTCTCTAAGTTCTGCCCACGTTCAAACGTCGAACCTGAAAAACTCTTACTGTTCTAGGTTTGTGTCAGCCTCAGGGTCTTTTTTGCTTTCCTGGTCCCCAGGTGGCAGCAGCTTGGGGCACGGTGAGGCTCAGCAACGTGGCAGGAGGGTACTGGAGCAGCGTGCCAAGAGCAATACCCAGCTGTTCTAGGGCAGCTGGAGCTAGGCTCTGGTCCTTGGCTTTCTACCTGAACCCTGTTTGTGCCCCCAGCTGTAAAACAGGACAGGCAGCATTCTCCTGCCACCCCAGTAGAGGCTTGAAGGTTCAACTCATTTGTGCATGTGAAAAGGTTTGAGTCAGAGGGAAGGATGATGCTAGGAAAGGAAAATTGCCGTTTAATGTTCTGTAAAAAGGTCTAGGGAAAGTGCTTAATCCTCCACTGTACCCATCCTTATTAAATCTGTGGTGAGAACTGGGCAAGACAGCCAAGCTGCAGCGTGACTGAGGAGGTGAGGATTTCCCTGTCATGTCTCTGAGTGGAAGCAGGAGATATTTCTCTTTCAGCTTTCTCTTGCTGCAAAAGTAGATGCAGTTTCTTCTTGTTCAGGCTCCGGTTGGGTAAGTGTGAGGGTAAGGAGCCGGGAGGCTGGCTGAGTAGCTCCTGATTTCTCTGGAGGAGAAGGTCTCACCATCGCGGAGCTGATGAGCTCAGGCAGGGCTGCAAGCAGTGCAGATGCTCTTGGGCTGTAAGATCATGAAGGAAGCGAATCTCAGAGGCTGGAGCTCACCCTGTTCTGCTGGTGTTTTACTTATCTCTGGATTTCCCAGCTCTGCTGAAATCCCTGCTTGCGTAGCAATGATTCAATTTCAGAAATCCCTTCGGATCACAGCCAAATCCTGCCCTTAGGAGCACATATTAACAGGGAAAATTCAGTCTGGCTTTTGCCATGAAAGGTGCAGGGCGCGCATTTTTCTAAGTGCTGGGGGACATCAATAGCCCAGCGACCGAGCCAGCCCCCAGCTCGCCCCTGCACCAGGCTCTGCCTTGCAGGCCCACAGTGGTCCCACGGAGTTTGCGTGGGGCTACGTCTGCAGTCTGGAGATGGGGGATCCTCTTCAGACCTGGGCTGTAATTAATAATTAATATTAATCAAATAATGGTGTTTATTAATGGCATTATCTTTGATTGGACTTGCCAGTAGATTGAAGGGGCAGGAAGGGGGTTCTGGAGCTCTGTGCCAGCCAGGTTACAGCATGAAAGGACATAAAGGCTCGTGTAAAGATGGCAGGATTCTGTGTCAAAAGGGGTCCAAACCTCCTCATCACTTCCTGATCCCTTCCCTCATGCTTGGACCCTGAGGATCACATTGTAAAGCATGGGTCCTTTCATGGACCCCTGCCCTCTGCCCCCCGAGGTGCAGGGGGCAGTTCATTCTGCACCTCACGAGGGCTGGCTCCTCTGCCCATGGGCGGCCACGGATCCTGGTCAACCGTGGCTGTGAATTGTTGCCGTGGACAAGCTGAATGCCAAGAAGGGAGGAGGGGAGGGGAGAAAGAGTTTGTGTTTTCTCGAAAACCTAATTCGCTTTTTCTCACCATGTGTTAGCAGGAAGAGCCTCGCTTCACTTCATGTTCTGCTTCTCTGTGTGTCTCATCTGGGGATTTGTTTGGAGGGAGACAGCAAGAATGTTTAAGTCTTACTTAAACTAGTAACTCATTTTGTTCAGGATGATGTCTCATTGGCTTCTGAGTGTTTCAGGAAGTGTACCACATACACATTTCTCTTTAACCTTCTTTTTATCACATCAAGACGAGATCAGGGGTTACTTATATATCACACTAATATCAGCCATAGGCTGCATCAGGAGCTTTCCAGGCATAGTAACTAAAGACGTCTATATGTATATTTTAGCCATTAAGGAGAAAACCCTGCCAGAATGCATTATCTTATTTTTGGATACAAAACTTATAAGCACAAAAGTAGGCTTTATAGGACTGCAAAATAGCTGTCAGGGGACAGAAGGATTTCCATAACTGAATTGAGCAATAGGCCATCCAGGCTACTTGCAAAGCTGCTGCAGTGGCCAAAATGGGGTACTATGCATAAAACATGAACTCTTCTTTGGGGCTCTAAATTGGCTCTTTCCTTGAGAAAGCAGCTCTGAGCCAGATAATGCCATACAAAAGGAGCACAATGGCTTGATCTGTCCCTAAAGTGGTGAAGATTTATGGTAATGTAGTGCTCAACTCAGGGCACCTTATCCATCCTTTTTCAGTACAACCCAGTGGGTAGAGCGTGGGACCATGAATCTGGCAAATCACTGTGCCTTGATTTCCCTGCAAAATGGGACATCAGTAGAGATTTCAATTAGGAAACACGCTGAAAACATAATGAACACAAGGATGAGAGCTGTATGTGCTGTCAGGCATGAATAATACCTGCTGGTGGCCGTGTTCTGCAAAGCACCTCGGTTTATCTTTCCCTGGAGGCATGGGGCTAAGACTGCCCCTGGGTTTTAGCACTGGGGGCAGGAGCTGGGTCTCTGTGGTTTTGTGGGGCAGTGGAGCTGCTGTTAGCGTCCGTGAGGGGGGTGCAGCCTGGGATGCAGGGGAGGGTGTGATGCAGGCAAGTAGCGGCTTTGTGAGAGCAGCCGCTTGCCAGGAGCAAGGCACTTAGGAGAACAGCAAACACGGTGGCAGTAAAAGGCAATCAGAATATTGATTCTTTTTATATACAGATAAGCCTGAAGCTGTAAAGGGTTTCCTAAAACTGGTAGAACATTGCTAGGCTGTTTATCAGGCTGGGAGACACAAAGGGATTTCAGATTAAAAGGGGTTTGAAAGCAGCAGGGCTTACCTCCGTTGAAAACGCGGGGATCTGCACCGCGTTATGCATCGCGTGGCCGCACGCGTTTTGTAAACACGCATTGTCTGGCTGTGTGGGATGTATTCATCCTCGGTGTAAGTGTGGAAAGCAGCAGAGCTACATCAGAGATGAATTTGTCCAATTATCAGCGATAAAATCGGCCATTGTTCAGGGCACAGCAGAGAGCATGGTGCCGGCTTGCTGAGGGCTCGCTGGGGGGGGCAGCTGGCAGGACAACCCACCACGTAACAAACGTTTCCCTGTACAAGAAAATTCAGTTCTTTAATTCCTTTTTTCCCTTTTTTTTTTTTTGGTCCCAGACAGCGTAACGGAAGTCAAGACGGACATTTACGTGACAAGTTTCGGCCCTGTCTCCGACACAGATATGGTAGGTGCCGCTGGCTGGTCGCCTCACGGGGAGGGATGGCTCCTGCAGCCGCAGTGAATGTGTCCCACCCCCGTCACTGGACGGTCTGGGCAAAAGTGGGATTTTCCTGCATGACAAGAACGCAAGCAAGCATCCCAGCTGCTGCTGGGCAGGAGCGCACCACATCATCTTCTGCAGGCAGCGCGGGCCTCCAGAAACCAACCGATAGTGCAGCTTTGGGGGGTCGATGCCTTTGCACTGCTCAGGCACGCTGCAGGCTTTAGGGTCTTTTTCTTTCCTACAAGTGCAGCCTAACGAAATGGGGAGGTCTGCCCGTGGACTGAGACCTGTACGTAGCACACTCCACCCGTTGCGTGCTGTGACAGACACCTTCGCTGTAGCCGGCTTCCCTTGACCTGACTGTGTGGAGGGTGCTCTCTGGGAAGAGGGAGGATGCCAGAATCCAGCCTGTTTTGGTGGCAGTGCCAGGAGGGAACGGTTCACCATCAAACTGTCCTTAGTGCTTGAATCAGAAGGGAGGCAAAAAAGAAAAAAAGAAAGAGTGAACTGATTGCAGTATTTTGACATGTTCAGGGAATATTATTAGTGAAAAGGCCTGAGGTCTGAATTTAGGCTTGTATTCCCACAACAGTTTGTCTTCTAATTAAAACAGGACTGTGGAACATAATTAATGGTGAGCTTTCTCAACAGCGTTTCTTGAGCTCGTATTCCGCGCACACCCGGGCGCACAGAGGAGAGTTGGCTGTCGATGGGTGCTCGGCTGTCCGAGGGTGCCACGTGGGGACAGCCGTGCATTCAGGGCTGAGACCCTCCTGCGCGCCCAGGCCCAGGGGTGACCCGGTGCGGGCATGGCCCCGGGCAGCAGCGGGCAGTCCTGGCCTTGAGGGGAGCCTGCTTTGGGAGAGGGAGCAGGCATTGCTCTCACCAGCTGGGTCAGGCACGAGCGGTGTCCTGCGGCTCTTGCAGCCCCTCCGGAGCAGGGACAGTTTCATTTTCAGTGCTCACGTGGCTATGAACATCTCTTCAGCTGTCCCACCGACAGCCCTGTGCTGGCAAAGCGGAGGAGTCGGGGGAGAATAAAACCTCTGTGTTTCATTGAGGCACTGGCCCCGCAGCACAACCCCGTGGTGTTGTGGACAGAGCAGTCCCTCCAGGGTTCGAAGTTAACTTGATGTCCGTGTAGCCAAGAGTATTACTCTCATCTGAGTTCCCTCTCTATCTCGCTTGCTTTCCCGCTGCAGCGGAGACCCATAATATATTCAGCAATCTTAGCCCTTGGGGAGTATCTGATAATTACTTCCAAGGTGGAGCATATTTGATTAAGGGAGTGTGTATAATGAACTGTGAAGAAGAAATATGAGGTACTGAAAAGAGGAAGGTAGTCGCTGCAATGTGATTTGACAAAACGAATGTAAAATTAGGAAGATAGTTAAGGAATAATAAATTATTTCCCCTTCACGTTCCATGCATTTTACAAATGCATAGCGAATGTGTTTCAGCGTGCCGTTCTGGTGCTGAACGCACTCGGAAACGTGAGAGAGAGAAGCCCCATCTCCTCGGGAAGCGTGGGGAGAGCCTGTTCTCTGCAGTGGTTCCTCTCATCTGGGGAGTGGGGATGTCCCTCCTTCCCTGCTCACATCTGCCTGGTGCTGTCGCTCCCGTCCCTCCCACAGCCATTGCTCACGCGGCAGAGAGCCACTCCTGCGCATCGTGATGCAGGCAGAGACTGTAATTATGATGATGGAGTAGAGGCAGGTAAAGCTGCGGCGCAGAGCGGAGGAGAGCAGCTGGTTGCTAAGCGTGGAGGAGGACGTGTAGACCTTTTCCCCGAGATGCTCCAAGGGACTTCTGATCTCTCTTTCAGTTTGCTTTGGAAAGTAGAGCCTAATAGGACCTGACATACACCTGAATCTTTGGTAGTGAGCTCTTGTAGCTTTGCCTCAGTCCCTGGGAAACTGAAAAAAGGGAAAGTTCAAGGGAGTTTTATCCTTTGGTGGACTCCGGAGGCAGACTCAGTCTTGATGCTTTTGGTCACTCATGTAAGGCGAAGATGAGCATAACACACAACTAAGTGTGCCTCGTGGAAAGGAAGACTTGAGACTGATGCTCTCATGGAAACAAGTATATAAAAAAGGGGCAGAGTCTGAGCATAATTTCTCTTTTTTTCAGGGATGATTCCCTAGCATAAAAGAAGGAAAACAGGGCCTGGGAAGTTGCTGTAAAAGTTCTGCTTCTTTGTTTGTCTTGTTGTGGGTTTTGGTTTGTTTGTTTGTGTGTTTGTTTTTATAGGAACAGGGAGTTCTGAATAAGGTAGCTCTTCTCCTGATAAGGACTTTGCCCAAACCTACCTCCTGAGACTGCACGCAGGCTCATTCCTTTGGTTTTATCCCTTTACTGTGCTTAAAACCACAAAGTGAAGATCACTTCTGTGAAAGGACAGAATATCTTGTACAGGGCAGAGACTGTGGGAATGTAGGATCTCTTTCCTTCCCCCAGCCAGGCCGCAGAAACTTCACACGTGAGCAGGAGTGGCTCTGTGGCCAGGGGGCAGGGATGGATTTCTTTACCAAGACGCTTGCATTCAGGTGCCATCTGCTGCAAAACCTGTAGTAATTTCCATGACCTGTAGGAAACTGATGCGCAGCAGCTTTGAGATGCTGCTGAGAAGAGCTGCAGGAAAGAAATCACTCACAGTGATAAGTTCAGTTGGTCCTGCAGCCTGCAGGCACTCATAAATAAAGACACTGGATCTTCAGCAGCAGGGGAAGAACAGCTGGGACAGACAGATTTTCCGAATCCCCCTTCTCTCTCTGAAAGCCTCGTCAGCTCATGAGATCCTTCGTTAGAAGGAGGAGGCGTGTGTTGTAGAGGTGAGCAGTGGTGCAGCTGATGCTGATGGGCCCAAGGCTGTCCCTCAAGTGCGACGGACCCTCAGAGAACACGCAGTGGCTCAGGTCACAGGGAGCAGCAGTCCCTTATGCCAGGCACCGGGCAGATTGATGTCATTTCGCCTTGAGGTGGCTGTGGAGCAACTTTGCTGCTTGGTCAAGGAGTTTCTGAGGCTGCACATTTTCAGAGATGACTTCTAATTGCCCCGACATCCTGGCCACATTCCATCTCCAGAAACTTTATTTTTGCCTTTTACAATTCCCATGTAGCTGCACACACTGGTTCGCTCCCCTGAAACATCTGGATGAAGGGGGTGGTGGAGCAGGGCTACCTCAGGACTGGCCACTCGAGGCTGTACCGCAGCTTGTCTGCAGTGGGCAGAAACACTGATCGACTCATTTTGGCATATGTGTATGTCATCATATAGAATGGGGTAAATGCCCTCTGTCCTCCACAGATTCCTCCACTGCCGTTAATCCCTACTTCTTGTTGCATAACGCTTCGTGTCAGCCAGCTGTGCCGAAACACAGTGTGCTGAATGACGAAAGAGATTTACCATTTCTTGAAGCAGCTTGTTTCCAATGAAGAGCTGAGCAAAACAAAACTGATTTTTCTCTTCTTTCTCCACAAAGGAATACACTATTGATGTCTTTTTCCGGCAATCCTGGAGAGATGAAAGACTGAAGTTTGATGGTCCCATGAAAATACTTCCCCTGAACAACCTGCTGGCCAGTAAGATCTGGACTCCTGATACCTTCTTCCACAACGGGAAGAAATCTGTTGCCCACAACATGACAACACCCAACAAGCTGCTGCGCCTGGTCGACAACGGCACCCTCCTGTACACCATGAGGTACGTTTGTGTCTCCTGGGCCGTTTTTTTTCTCTACTGCATGGAATGAAAAACCCAATTCCGTGTAATCAGTGCACATCATTAGGAAAAAAAATAAATCACTAGTTTATTAAAATCTGTGCTTTGGAGGTGCCTGGTTTGAAGAGGCCATTGGAAGTTCTCAGATTAACCCAGCCCATGCTGTCCTCAGCTCAGCTCTCAGTGGGAGCCCCGGACATGAGGTAGCCCTGCAGCATGAGACCCCAGGCAGGGATACAGCCTGTGCAACCTCACGGTGAGCTCCAACAACTGGGGTCTTCCTTCTAAACCACAAGTCGTTGTTGGAGAGCCATGCTTGGGCAGTCATCTCCTCTGAATTTCTCAAGAACAGCCCTGGTACATACATTTATCACTAAGCAGCACCAGGTGGAGAGCATGAAGAGAAATGCCATTGGGTTAATTGTACATTTGTTCTGGAACTATTCAGATATTCCAGCATGCTTGTAAGTTATTCACCCACGTAAATAATGTTTGTACCTACAGTTGACGTACTCATTTGCTTTTTGAGGTGAATGGGCTTATAAATGAAACAACAAGCTACTCACAGATGCACAAGAAAGGTACTGAGTTGGTTTTGGAAAGGTGTAAATCTTTGTTTTCAAAATTTACCTTCTCTGCCTTCATCTTCAAGCCAATCCTAACTAATCCCAAGCTTCACTGTGGATTCTGTGTGCTGAGATGCTGCCCTTTCACCTCTGTTTTTTGAGGACCAGACAGAATTTCATAGTTAAGCTGGCTGTGAATCTGCATAGTGTCAGCAAGTTTTACAGCCTACATCGATAAACAATGCTCTGCTTTTCTGCAGCAGTTCTCAAACATGAGCTAATCTTGCCAGTGCCCTGGGGGTTTAGGTCTCCACACATCAGTGATCTCACGTTACTGAGGCAGATGGGGTAAATGAAGGGAGAAGCCCAGCTTGTCTTAAGGGCTCGGTTCTGCTCCCGGCTCTCTGACCTGCGTGTGGATGACTAACACTCCCCCCCGTTTGCATCATTGTCTGAGGGTAAAATATTATGGGAGCTACTGGCATAAGACAGCACAAAAAGGACTCAATTTCAGGGCTTTTATATCATTTCACTTCTTCTTTATTCAGCAAACAGCCATTAGCTTCAGCAAGTTTTGTGTGACCAAGAAAGTGTTGGATGTACTTTTCTGTTTAGAGCTGGGCAGGTGCCAGGGTGGCAGCATCACGAGGCTCTTGGGAATGAGTTTCTTGAAGAAAATGGAGTCATGGGATTTTTAAAATAAGTTCAACACATCCTTCAGTTTAGTTATCTCCCAAAGAAGTAGAGGGGGAGGGGGAGGTCTGGGCCTCCCTTCGGTGTGCTTCTCTCCCCTTAAATGTACTTTTAAGGCTTTGTAAGAGAAGACCCCACTCAGAGATACCCAAAGGTTGAGGGTTGGATGTGAGACCTTTTGCCATGTGTTGTATCGCACAGTGAAACAATGATGGTATCACCCTCCCTTGTTAAGTGCTCTGAAACCTCCTTCAAGGAAAGGGGTGGAAGGAGACTCACGTTTCATGTCCAAGTAGCACATTCATTGTTCCCCCCCATGCCCAGGGGCATGCACGTGTGTCCTTCTCAAAGGAAGGAGCAGGACCACAAAGCCAGTCTCAGCCCCACACAGCTGACATGCAGCGAAGTGCAAATCCCAAAGAGGCATGCTCTGTCCTGCTGCCTTGGAAGAGATTTGGGACTTTCCCCTGGACGAGGGGAGGCTGTTGGGGTGATCCCTTGCAGGCTCAGTCTAGACAGGTACATTGCCATGCAGTTTGACTCCTGAGACATACCCTACTCCTTTGCCTTGTGCCAGCCAATATCCTTGAGGGATCGGCTCTGCTGATGTGCAATTAGAGGCCTGTCTCCTGCTATTTATCCTGCTGTGAAAGCCAACTTCTCTTAGTCCAGGCTTACATTTATAGATGAAGTTGCTCTGGTGGAACAGCAACTCTGACACATGCATCCAGTGAAATTACACCTGTGTGACAATATTTATAGCTCCCGGAGAGAGCCTCTTTATCACTGACCTGAGCTTCGAGGAGTCGCGCACCAGCTGGAGCTGCGCGTCCAGCGATTTCCTTTAGTCACGGCACGGCGCTCGTGGATGGGTGCGGCATCGTGGTGCAAACATCCGATCACTGGCGCCTGGGTGACAGGACGACCTTTGCCACTGCAGCACAAAATTGCATTTCTCTATTCCCCTCTTTCTGGCTGCCGAGGAAGGGACAATATTAGTGATCCCTCCGCCTCTTCCCTGCTGCTCCGGCTGCCTTAGAGAGCACAGGGAACACAGTTTCATTATGTAGCCCTGCCTCTGCAGTCTTGTTTGTGGAGCTCCTACGAGATCCAGGGAGTTCACAAAAGCCCAGGTAGGGCCTCGAAGTGCTGGTGTCAGACCGGAGTACAACGAAGTGGGAATTGTGCGTGGATTTACATAAGGTACAGACAGAAACTGCTGCAGCAGTCTCTCTCTCCGGCTCAAACTGTGTGGGGCACATAGTTCTGGTTCTTCCTGGCCTTGAAGCATATGAAAATAGGGAGAGCTTACTGCTCAGCCGATAGGATTCAGCTCCTTGAATCCAGGCTTTAAAGAGCTCTCCTGCTCTTCACAGGGACTGTCGGAGTGGCATGTTGAGGCTTTGTGGTTATTGTCAGAGGGGCTCCCAGACAATATGTGCTCAAGTTATGCACTTGAAGGATGCTTTCTTTAACTGCCAGGCTGATGCATTCAGCTGCATGCCTGAAGACTTTGCCTCGAGAACCTGTATCGCTAAAGACAACGTGAAGTCCTTAGCACAGTGCACAAGCACTTGGGAAGGAGGGTCGGAGAACCCCTGGGTGAGGCAGAGGCAGGACAGGAGGGGAAGCTGAGTACAAAGGCACCCAGGAGACGAGCAGTCCTACCAGAGCTGTTGAACCCCAGATAACAACCCTCTACCTACTTTGGCACTCTCAGGGGTCTGAGCTTCCCAGGTCGCTTTTTGAAATCACAGTGCATCACCGTGTCTCTTCCAGCAAAGGAGTTGGGTTGTCTTTACTGCCTGTTTTTTTTTAACTCGCGGGCAACTTGTGGGAGCTGTAGACTGGAGCCTGCAGAACCCTTCTGCACAACGGAGGTGCAACCATCATTGCTTCTGCAAGAGCAGCAGCTGGGATGACCCAGCACCAGCTCCTCTGGGTAGTCCGGACAGGCAGATACCGGGCTGCATCCCACATCTGGGCTGATCCTAGACAACAGCATAAATGGACCCAAGCAGATCAAAGCCAGACTGCTAAATGCGGAAGCAGATGGATAGGCAAGATGAGCTTTGCACAGCCTGCTTTTCCCTGCCTTACAGATTCCAGAGTGGATCCAAGGCAGAAGTGATCTGTTTTCCAGGCTTCGTTTTGTGCAGACAGACTTTTGTAAGGATATTGTCCCAGGAGACAGAAATCTTCAGACATCACCTTATCTCTCTGCATTTCTGCCATCATGGGCTGAAATCTCCAGGGACTGGGGGAGGATGCAAAGTGAATTCAGCGCTTTCAGATCCAGCACAAGGATCCTACAAGCAATTTGGCTTTCAAGCTCAAACCCCAGCAATTAAACCTAACCTAGATTCTCACACAGCCTAAACCGTAAACACTGTTTGGCCTGACGGTGGTTGTTAATGAAGCTCCTGGAGGAGAAATCAGGACAAAACTCAAGCAATATCCCTGGCATAAACAAAGTCGGTTCTGCTGTGCAGGGTGCTGTCATGTTTTCGTACCACACATACACCAAGGGATTATTACATTTGCTTCCCAGAAATTGGACTGAGACTCTCGCTCATCCTGCAGCACGATGCAGGTAACGACAGGGACTCTAATGACACATCAAAGGCTTCGCTAAGCTCCCGGTAACCATGAGAACGAAGCTGAAGTGGTTTGTTGTACCGTCAGCCCTGGGAGAGGTATGTTTAGCCTGATTCATGCTTCTTGCCATTGTGTTGAGCAGTTCAAAGGACTTCCCATGACTTTAAAGAGAAAAACATGGTTTCTCTCCTGGATGTTCCACTTTTGGTGCCATTGTGCCAGCAAAGTGAAGAGAAAACGAGGAGTTTGGGGTTTGATTTCAAGACAGTTCTGCATAAGTTATTGCTAGTGCCTGGGACAGATGAGCCAAAGGATGCAACAGCTGGATTGTGGGATTGCTGGCAGCTTGGCTATTTTTCACATGCTGCTTAGGCTTTATAATGACATTTCAGGATTCAGATGTCTGGACCTGATCAGGGCATGGGAGCAATGAAGCAAACCTCCGTGGCTAGCTGGCCGTAAGCTGCCTCGCACGGGGTAAGGGACAGAGATGAGGATTTCTGCAACTGGCTCTTTTACCCAAATGCTGGAGAGGCAGTGGTAATTGCCTGGGAAGCGAGAAACATTCCTCTTAGTTTGACATTTTGACGTTTCATTAAGCAAAGCATATGGTGCTGAGGAGTTCTTTGCCTGCAACAGGAGGTGGCAGGGAAGGCCAGCGGGGAGCGGCGCGGAAGGGGAATGTGGGCACGCTCCTGAGCGGTGATTGATTCTGCAGCTCACCCAAACACCTCTGCTGATTAGCACTCTGCAAGATGAGTGTGTGCAAGAGAGGCTGCGGCGGGGGGGTGGAAGATGGCTGAGGGATGCGGAGGGGCGAGCAGGAGCAAGCGGCACTGCGTGCACTCTGGTGCTGGGGAGAGCCCCTCAGGGAGCCAGCACGCCCCAGCACACACGGGGGCAACGCGAAGAGGTTTCAGGCAAGGGAGAACACCTGGCAGGAAGAATGCCTGTCTTGCTTCCCCCTTCGTCAGGGAAGCTGGCTCCCTTCATGCGTTACCTGTGAACATGCTGACTTGTGCCTGCCAGAAATTTCTGGACCAGCACACAGGGAGCCAGCACGCCCCAGCACACGCGGGGGCAAGGCGAAGAGGTTTCAGTCAAGGGATAACACCTGGCAGGAAGAATGCCTGTTTCTGGACCAGCACGTCTCGCTGGAATGATTTGGCATCTCCATTTTTATTTAATTTCAGGAGACCTAAGATCTCCTTCAGTTGTAGGTGGAGAAGTGGCAGATTAGGTTGCTTTTTCAGTGGTTTGTTGATGGATTTATTGTGTTGTTGTCTACTGGCTCAGCTGATAAAGCACACTTTAGATTTAAAATGTGATTGCCGCATGCCCACACACCTAGGGAGTCATCCAGCATCTGTACAAAGTTGTCTCCTTCCCTTAACAACACTTGCACTTGTTGGCCATGGCCTGGAGAGGGCAGGAGGGTATGGCCAAGGCCAGCTTGTGCCCAGCTGGTCTCTGCTGCCATCCTGGCCCCCTCTGCTGCTCTTTCTGGCAGCTCTGAATGGCACTCAACCACCCGGCCCGCAGTCTGCTGTCCTTTGAGTCGTTCAACCTTATTCATCGTGGCTGCTGATGACAGCCAAGACTGGATGAAAAAGGCCTTTCTCCTTTTTTAGAGGGGAGTTCAGGATGCATCAGAAGGAAAGCACTGATCTGAGGAGAGATACTTTGGAAAAGGCAACTTTGGGAACACCCAGCTAAGAGCCTTTTAGAATAATAAAGTAATTAGTAAAGCCAACCAAGGAATAGGAAGGTAAAAAGGAAAAGTCTTGTGTGGCCTGCTGAGGGAGACAGGGGAGATGCATCAACACTCCTTCACTTGCATGACTGACAGATCTTAGAAGCAAGAAGTCTATTGCAGTTGGAAAGGACACAGAAGGAATCGAATGGTGAGATCCTTGAGGACATGCTTGACAAGCTTGCCAACCATGAAGCTCCCTGAGTGAATTTTGAGCTGACAGAAGAAAGCAGCACAAAAGAAACAGAACAGGAGGAGCAAGGCTGTAGAGTCCACACCTTCCTGCCAGGTTTTCATACCTGCTTCTTGAAATCCTAATTATAGAATCACAGAATGGTTTGGGTTGGAAGGGACCTTAAAGATCATCTAGTTCCACCTCCCTGCCATGGGCAGGGACACCTTCCACTAGACCGGGTTGCTCCAAGCCTCGTCCAGCCTGGCCTTGGACACTTCCAGGGAGGGGGCATCCACAGCTTCTCTGGGCACCCTGTCCCAGTGCCTCCCCACCCTCGCTGGGAAGATTTTTTTCCTGATATCCAATCTAAATCTCCCCATTTTCAATTTAAACCTGTTACCCCTTGTCCTGTCACTACAGGCCCTTGTAAACACTCCCTCTCCAGCTTTCTTGTAGGCCCCCTTTAGGTATTGATCCAGATCTTCATCCAGATTATGAAAGAGAGGTACCAGCGCAAATGATCAATTTGTTCATGGTGGCTTTTGAGTGTCCAGAGGAGTCTCATTCCAACCATGTGCCTGTAGGCTTGTCAAAATCACTGTCAGCCTTTCCATTGACTTCCAAGAGTCTTGGTTGAAGTCCTGAAGATTGGGTCTTCTTCTCCCTAGAGTAAAACAAGCACATTCAGTCCAGAGGTGAAGAGATCAGCAGGTCAGAAAGAGTGAGTTGTTTCTGAGGAAGTTACATTGGCCACACACATTGGTTCTTTGATTGGCTGAGAACGCGAAGCTGGGGCCAGACACAGTGCAAGCAGGACAGTCATCATCACCTGTCAGCAGAATGATTACTACAGCACATAGTGGTCCGTATCCATGTGCATGGATTCAGAGAGGATTGGCAGACTTGGAGACGAAAAGGTCTCTGGTACATTCAGTTGCCTGGATACCTCAGAGAGGATTGGCAGACTTGGAGAAGGTCTCTGGTACATTCAGTCGCCTGGATACAGCCTCTGAATCATGAAAGTTGTAAACCACCAGCTGCTGGGAGCTGACCACAAGGTGTGGTGTGCTCTGAATTCCCCCAGGTCTTGTGCTTCTCGGTAAGTATCCACGGGCCTCCCCCACTGAGGGTGGTGTCAGCCTGCACAGACCCAACAAACCCGCTGTGATTAACCTGGCCAGAGCATGGAGCATTGCATGAGCCGCGGCTGGGCTGTGAGCCCTTGGGACCCCAGAAGGAATGCTGGCTCAACGGCTCAGGCATCAGTGCAGGCAGTCCCCACGGGACGTACGGGGACCGCATCCTGCTGACACTGGATAGCCAAGAGCTGTTCATCAGGACAGAACCCGTCCTGAGTGGGGGAGTTGCTTTTATAGGGACTTTTTCCCCCTATGGGGTAGCTCCTGGGGCACAGTGTGGTGGATGTGCCCAGTGGAGACAGGTCAGTGTCACCTGGCACTGAAAGCAGAAATGAACACGTGCTGCTGTTGCATTAAGGAGCAGGGAGGTGCCACCAAAACGTTGTGAGACAGGGTTCAGAAGGAACCACGTTGTGGGGCAGGGTTCAGAAGGTCTGCAGGAACCTCACCGCTTTCCCATGCTAGTTCATCCAAGGAAAAGGCCTAGACTTCCCCATGGTGCGATCTGCTCTGAGGCACTGTGACCACCGTGACAAAACAGGCACCGTGGAACAGGCTGCCCAGGGAGGTGGTGGAGTCACCATCCCTGGATGTGTTTAAGAGACGGGTGGATGAGGTGCTGAGAGATACGGTTTAGTGGTGGACAGATACGGTTGGACTGGATGATCTCTAAGGTCTTTTCCAACCCAGTGATTCTATGATTCTAAAAGGTCACCTCCCAGATATTCCCAAAGGCTGGTTTAAATGGGATTTAAACCCTTGCTGTGGGCACTGCAGTGGCTCTGGGTCACAAAGGAGGGTTTTTGCCACCCAGCCCTGCCCCATCGAAGTTACAGCAGCTTCCAGCTCTGCTCCTCCACTTCTTGATTTAATGCCTCTGCCTGTCCCTCGCGGGGACGCCAGCTTTCCTAGACCCTCTAAAAGCAGCAGACAAGGCTGGATGTGGGTCTGAAATCGCAAGGTTCATTTCCTCACCTGGCAGAGTGAGTTCTCAGCTGGCAGCGAGTTTTGAGCACAGCCTGGGCTGCGCTCGCAGCCGATGGAGGAGCTGTGCGGGGATGTGCTGCTGCCCCCAGCGCAGGTGCCGCCTGTCGCAGCACCATGTGCTGCCTGCTGCCCCCGTCACTGCAGCCTCAGACATCGCCAGCCTCCTCCAAGACACGGTGCTTCTGCTTTGTTTCCCCCACAGGGGTTTTTAGAGTGATTTGTCAAGTACTTGGTTTTGCTCACCAGTTTCTTTTTATGCCAAGTTTAAAAAACAGTCCTTTTTTTTTTTGTAGAGTCATTTAAGGTTTGTCCCCCTGAAATAAATAACCTTTATTTTTATTTCCTTTCTTTTTTTCCCCTCTTTACTTTTAACAAACAAAATCTGAACCCTTTATGTTTTTCAGGGTTTGTTTTGCATTTGACTAAGCATCATTATTTTGTATGAAGAATAATGTTACCTGAACGTTTTTCCGTCTGAAGGAAGCTTTCCACCGTGCTTCTTGACCTGAGTTTTGCACAGGCCACCTTCAGCTTTAGGTCTGTGCATTTGCCCTTTGCATCTGCCTGTTGCTCCTGTCGTGGTTTATTTGTTGTTTTGCTGAGCCATCAGAAGTGCGTCCCTTTTTCTACAAACGGACCCTTCAGAGAAGATTGTATTAGACGTCTCCTGGGAAGCCACCTCTCCTGGCTCTCCCCCCTAGGCTGCAGGCTTTGCAGTACTTCAGGAGGAACATGAGCTTCGAGCTACCTTTTTTAGAGCTTTTTAGAACAGATCCTTTTATACCTGACCCCTCGTTCTGCAGCACGCTGCTTTTATGGTTGCGCCTCCCTCACAAAACCGCTTCCTGAGGAGGTATCCTACTGGGATTTGGTGGAGTGCACATGTTGTCCTGCACCCCCCACCAAGCAGCCCCAGGACAGGCAGCTGTTTGTCTGCCCACAGCATCCTCTGCAGTGCCACCGGCGAGGGAAAAGCTGGGGCAGGTGGGGTGAGGTGCCCTACGTGCACAGGGGTGTGTTGGTGCAACACCTTCGTGGCTCTAAGTGCCAGTGGTGCTGGGCTTCCTGACTGAACCATCTGCCAGCCCTTGGCTCCTTCCAGACCACTGGGAAGAACAGGCCATGTTCCCTGGAAGCCCCTTCCCTCTGCTTCCAGCATGGTCCATGGCCCCAGGCATTAATGAGCTCTCTGTGCACGGTGCGTGAACAAACGCAGGGCTTTGGCAGACTTGCTGATTGCGCTGACCGGATAAAGATGAACTCAGTCGGTAGGATTGAGTTTGTACAATGGGAAAGGTGGCCAGATCTGTGTGCCTGCTGTTCTCTCCACAGCTGATGGCCTTCTGCCTGGAGACCGGGAGGCTAGTGACCACACTCTGGCCTCGGTCGCCTTTGATGGATGCAGGGCACAGGCGCCGTGGCAGAAGGGCGAGGTGGCAGCCACCACAGCCGCGTTTGCTATCATGCCCTGTGTTTTGTCTTGTAGGCTGACGATTCACGCAGAGTGCCCCATGCACCTGGAGGACTTCCCGATGGATGTGCATGCTTGCCCGCTGAAATTCGGGAGCTGTAAGTACCCTGATCAGCCTCTGGAAGGAGGTGGGTAAAGAGCTACAGAACAGTCCTTTGCCTGGCTAGTGTTTTCCAGTACTTCAGTAACAGTGCTACTGGTTATTGCTAATGATAATGTGACCAAATATTTGTTTCTGGTGTCTCATACATGCAATTCCTACCATCATGAGAAATGCCAGGAAGCAAATCTGTGGCCAAGTCAGGCTCACAGAATGGGTTAGACACCTGTGGTTTTACTGTAAGTTTACTAGGGAGGTGGGAAGAGCAGCTTCCCATTGCCTTCGACGGGCAGGGCTGGCCTCTGCAGCCGGGCCGGCATTGGTGGAAAACTCATGCACTTGTCTTTCATCACAAGGTGATCCTGGTGGGATAAATTTGGGAAGATAGCAGTGGTGTCTGCTGCCTGGTGTCCTGTCCAGCCTCCCTGCGTGACTCCTGCCAGTCTGGGGAGAGCCTGAAAACTCTGGTTGCTGTGGCTCCATGCTCCAATGGAGCTTACAAACGCCTTGCTCCTCTTTGGTCTGTCAGGCAGGCTGCTCTCAAGTAAAAGGCTTGGAAACTCTGGGAATCTCAGTCCAAACACCCAAGGGTACTTGTTTAGGGAAAATCTGCAGGATGCTGGTGAGCTGAAAGCTGCTCCCAGGCTCCCAGGCTTGGAGCTGCTCATCTGCCTGGGCTTCCCATGCCCTGCCTAGGAACAAATTCCCTCTTCTCTCCTGTATTCAAGTTAAATTTTTGGTTTTCCTGAAAAGTGAGTGGGTACCAAATTCCAAGCCACTGGTTCACCATAATGTGAAATAAATTTCCTAGTCCCACTCCGCCTGGAGTGTCCTCCAGGTCCAAAGAACTGAGCACCACTCTCAGTCTGTGTCTGCATTAGATGGAAGGGTTACCACTTCCAGCTAAAGAATGAGCCCTCACCACTGATCTCCCTTTTGGACGCTAAGGAAACAGAGAATTCCCAGCCTTTCTAAACCGATACTTCCTTTCAGTAGCCATTTGGGAGTTAACTAAGGAGAAAGTTGAAAAGTTTGACACTAAAAGAAATCATGTTTATCATGTGCATCTGCTCCTCTGCTTCATGAAAAAATGCATCCATAGAACTGGGTTATTCAAAACTACTAAAATAAAGTTATTTCTTAGGCAGCACCTAATTAAATGTGGAGCTCATTGCCACAAGAGATCACTAAGGCCAGTAAGTAAAATAGCAAGCCTTAGAGAAGGATGAATTATTAATGTTAATTGACCTTGTGAGGGGGGGATATAAAATCTCATACCTCAGACCTAAACTCTGGGATTATTACAAGACTTGCAGGGAGGCAGATTACTCCACATCTCATTGCTTAGTGTGTTTCTTGGTGAGGAAAAGATACTAATGTGCATATGTCTGCTGGAACACCCTTTGGGGTTCTGGGTATTTATACTGATTTGGCCTCTGAATGATGAGAGTTTTGACACAATCAGCTGAGAGAGCTGTCCCTGATTAACATGAGTACGGTCTTCTTTAAGCACCCATCTGCATAGCATCTGAGCTCACCTCTGCTGTGCTGGAGTACGATTAAGCTGGTGTTCCCACCTCAACAGCTGGAACCTGCTCATTTGCAAGAAGCTTCGAGTGGGTCAGATTTGCAAATAGAAGGACAATGCCAAGGCCTGAGTTTGCCTCAGTGACTGCCTTCCAGTGATCCCCACAACCTGAATGGCTATCAGTGGCCTCCTACGCTGCCATGGCAGCCACCCAGAGGGGGAAGGCAGAGAGCTTTCAGGAGAAGTAAGCATATCCGGCATTTCAGCTGCCCACCTGCACCATTCCTTGGACCAAGAGCAGTGAAGATGATGGCTTTACCTATCCCTGTGCTCCCTAGAAGATGGATGTAGGCAGCAGGGAACAACTGTTCCCAAGGAACAGGACGTTTGTACAGCTGCTGGCTGAGCCTAGGCTAGCAGAAGATGTTGCTGAAGTTACCAGCCCCACCAAAGGTCAGAGCTGTCCTTGTTTGGGTTGGACTAGACTGCATGGCAAGTGAGGCATTGGGCAGAACCAAACCAGCTTCATGGCATTCAGGGTGTTCCAAGCCTGTGTGCCGTGCTGACGTGACACCAGATACACGGCCAGCCCAGGTGACCAGATACATCGACGGCTGCGTTCTCAGGGGCGATGGCAGTGAAGCGGGGGACACGTCTCCCTTGTAGACTGAGAGTAGCAGTGGGTGAAGCGTGGCTGCTGGAGCAGAAGGTGCTGCCCATCAGGGCAGAAGAGCATTGGCAGAGCTGTACAGAGCCAAGCCGGAAGGAGGATGGAGGTCTCCAGAAGCATGTTGAGAGCTGGAGGGAGGGGTTGGGAAGGCAGAATGTTGCACATCAGATGAGAGGTGCCAGTCTGTATCAGAAATACTTGGGCAGCACACTGTCATGCTGAGAAACATTGGCTGATCATCAAAACCATTTCCTTAACTTCGCACAGCGCCTGCTTGGTATTGAACAGGTTTGCCAATGCAGGGTAACAGTGGTTGGTTTAAAAAGATCAGAGAACACAATCTTCCACAAAGCAGGAGCTGAGACATTTCTGCAGTAGACCTGACCCCTTGCTTTACCTGACACCAGCCGAAGAATTCCTTAATGTCCTAATAGGAGAGGCTGGTGGTAAAAATGAATTAAAACTTGTTTTAGTGAACTTTGTTCTTTCCTAAAAAACTGGTGCAGAGTGGGTATGGACAGGAAGCATTATGGGGAGAAGTAGCTCCTAATAGAATCTGGAGAGTCTCAATTTTTGGATACCATAGAACTGGCAAAACCAAGAGTGTGCGGGTGCTGTTGGGAAAGGGAATGGCTATAAGGACAAGCAGGAGTTTGGTCACAAAGGCTAGTGAAGGTGATGGTGACAGTGTGTGTTAGAGAGAGGTGTTTACATATGGGGAGTTGGGCAGGTGGGATAGAGAGGGAACTGGCAAGCCCCAGGGAGGATGCCCTGGCCCTGAGCCCGGCGCTGACCCCGCGCAGCAGTCCAGCGGCACTTGCCTGCTGTCCCTTGTGACGTGCGGGCAGGCTTTGCTCAGCGCTTCCCTCCCTTGCTGCCCAGCGGGTTGGCCTGGAGGCTGGCAAACACAAGGTTGTGCAGGGGAAAAAGCATCTGAGTGAGGGTAATATTTTTAACTTTTTCTCCTTAACCTGAAATTCAACCCCATTTGCATTTAGCCTTTCTTGCCAGCTGCTGCCAGCATGGCTCCCGGTCCCTGGCAGGGCAGGGCTGTGGCTGTCCTGCTGCCCTAGCCTGCTGGTCTCCATGCCTTCCTATCTTCTCTCTGCTTGGAGCCAGCCCCTGCAGAGTCAGCATGTCAAGGGGACAGCGTGTCTCTCAATGACAGTGCTCTGCCCCCTCTTCCAGCTCCCTTCCGAAAACCCCGGCTCCCTCTTGCTCATTTGATTTAACAGTTGCTGAACTGCCTTGGTCTCAGGCCATGCTTGGCTGTGCTCAGCCATGTGGCTCTGAGGAATGCACAGCAGGGATTAATTTGGCTACAGGCTCATTTTGGTATATTTTAGGTCAGGCAGAAGCACAAGCCTCATTCTTCTTTCTCCTCCACAGATGCCTACACAAAGACGGAAGTGATCTACACCTGGACACTGGGGAAGGATAAATCAGTGGAAGTAGCAAAGGGTGGATCTCGCCTGAACCAGTATGACCTGCTGGGCCATGTTGTTGGGACAGAGATGGTCCGATCCAGCACAGGTACTTGTGGGACCACGATGTGATGCGTGGGCTGAGCACACTGTCAGATGAGATGGACCCATGGGCTTTGCATGCCACGATTTAGTATAATTATAGAGACAGTACCTGCGGGCAGTGAGCACCACAGTACTTCTCAAGCCACGTGCCGTTGGAGAATATGGCTGGGGACATCTGGAGCAGTCACCAAGAGGCAGTAAAGGGATTAGCTTTGAGTGGTTTCCACAAAAAGAGCCTTATTGCCCATACCCTCTAAAAAAACTGATTTCAAGCACCTAAGAATGATCTGTTGTGTGGAAAATTTCCCCCACCTTGCCCAGCTGGTTCTTGGTACTGTGGGTTCATTTGTCTTGGATCCTTCTCCAGTCCCTCGGGAGAGCACTGTGGGCAGGGGAGGCAAATGTAACATGATGTTCAGTGTGATTTTCACTGCATCTGCTTGCACAAATATTATCATAGCTAATAGAAGATTATCCCAAACAAATGTTTCCTCTGATTAATGACCAGTATTAATCATCTTTCTCTCCCATCTGCTGCTCCTCCCTTCCCCTCTGAGTCCAGGTACTGATAGCTTCTGTGATCTCATGTGTGTCTCTCATCTTTCTTTTTTTACTTCTCTCTTCTTTCTTTTTTTTTTTTCCCCCTTCTGTATGCACCAGTAGTTCTCTCATTTGAAGATATTTCCTCTCTGGTGCACTTGATTTTAATAGTGTCTGTCTCTAACAACTCATATCACCTCCCTTGGGGAAATGTGGGGAGTCCAGGGAACTAAATGTCATAATATCTTGCCCATCTCTCTACTTAAGTTGTAGTAAAATGTACAGATGAATAACCTGAAGTGGCAAGAAAGCTGCTAAAGGCTCCTGTGTGTAATGATTTAGCAGAGCCATGCTCACAACAAAAAGGCACAATAATCCAACAAAATATCCAAAGCTTTGAGTGGAGGAATAGGGCATTGAGGGAAAATAGAGACAGCTGCTTCTTTGGTTTACAGCCCAGACCTTTAACGACAGAATTTGCCCTGATTTCTGAGATGGTTACAGTGAGGAAAGGTGGAATATTTTCAGGATTGTCAGAGAAAATAAAATCCTTCGTCCTGAAATCCTACTGAGGCACTGTTAGGATATCTGTAGGCTTAAGGGATCTTACCCACAACGTAAGGGTAAGGGTTTCCGTTCCATCGCAGGGATGGGAGCGGGGTCAGGAGAGACCCCCAGAGGCGTCTTGTACCTGGGATGAAACAGGGGAAGCCTATTGCCAGGTTGTTTATTGGCACTGATTTCCCCATGTCCCACAGCCGTTTGGTAGTGAATTAAAGAAGTCTCCAGAGAAGCGTTTTGGAAGGACAGACGCTACGTGGACGTCACTGCGGCTGCGCTGGGCAGGCGCCTGGCGTGGGACAGCAGCCGCGTGCGCACGGGCATGGCGTGCGGAGCCTCTGTGCAGCGTGCTGCGGCGGGCACCCCTCCCT